TGGTAATAAACAATACAGTATCTCTGAGCACATTTTAAAATATACATTATGAAATAAAATTTAATTTTCAGAAAAGCTTCCAACTTCTTTGTTCAAAAACACATTTAACCAATCCTTTATAAACAACTGCAGCCAGTTTGCCTGCCTGAAAATTTTGATTTATGAAGCCCTCCTGCTTAGTGCAGAACACTTATTTGTATTAATTTTCCTTCCTTTTTTTTGTTCTAAGGCAGATTGAGTAAGAGCTGAATTCACAAAAACTGTTAATGTAGCACTTACCTTAAATTATAATTTTTTGTAATGGTTGTAATTTGTTTTCATTCTAGTTTATTTAGTAATCATATAAATATCCAAACATCCACTAAAGTAAGCTACTGTGAAGAGTACAAGTACCACAGTCAGAGCAGTAGCTAGACCTAGATTTAAAATGCACGTTTCCTTCTGGATAAGAAAAGGTAGGTTCCCTCTGGTCACAGAAAAGGTCTCCATGCACCTCCCTGTTAACTAGTCATTGCAATCTGTCCATTAACATGAACCTGGCTAAATGTTATGTTCAATGGGAATTAGAAGCAGCGCACTGCACCATTTCTCCAAGGCTGTTAATTTTGACCTATACAATTGAGAGCAGTGTGGCATAGCTATCTTGGCATACCAGTATTTCAAGAAATATAGGCTTATTGATAGTAATAAGATAGCTGGGCGGAGCGGAAAAGCCCTTTCTGTTACACACCCTTTGTGCACAGAGATCCTCCCAGCTGAACTCATGAGCTCCCTACACAGAAGGTATAAGAGCACATTGAGCTCTCAGAGAAATGACGCCTATCAACTACTGTTTACAATGGCCTCAGCGACCCTCCTGGCAGCTAATGTGGAAGATGCAATTTCTCACCATCATATTCCTTTGTACTGCCCATGCCCTGAGGCCAGGATCTGGCCTCTAGACATTCCGGGCAGAGCTGTGAAACAAGGTGATTCACCCAATCTGTCCCAGAACAGCCCTTCCCAGTGGGAACAGTGTGTGAGTGTTGGGGGGAACCTCAAGAAATCCAACTGCTTTCAGCTGGAGTTTATAAAAAGGACGGTGTGTTTATGTTACTACCAATAGTAGGAAATGTCGCCTGATGAATAGGAATCTCCTTCCAAATGCCTATTCCTATGTATTGTCATTAAAAAAGCTCCATAAGGTCATACTCTATATTAATACATTCCAGAAAGCATATATATCATAAGTAAGAAAACACCTTTATACAAACAATTTGTTAAAGACTACATCAAACCATTAAAGACACTGATGTTTGAATACATTCCTAATCTTTCAGGAACAGGAGGATTTCAATGCTTTAGAAAACTAGGAATATTGCAGAGAAGAAGACAGAAAAGACAGGTGTCAAAAAGAAGTTGGAAAGAGAGCACCATATGAAAATCATACTTAATTTTTTATGTCCATTTAACAAGCTAATTAAGTGTTTCATGATGTTATACTGAAGTTTAAGTAAGCTACCTAGGATAAAATCCTGGCCCATCTGAAGTCAATGGTAAGAGGATTTTACCTGCAATGCTCACTATCTTTGAGAAGATATTAAAACAAAAGGTATACACTGAGGCTTCAGTGAAAGGCTTCAATCAAAAAAGAAGAGGAAGAAAAGAACATTACTTGGTTTTTTTAAAGTACATGCCATGTAAACTAATCTACATGGCAATCTCTCTGGTCTATCAAAGATTGAATGCAATACTGTAAGTCATTTTTAGCTTTATTTTTATTCATTTATCATTTAGCAAGACTCTTCTGTAGCTGTAAATCACTTTTAAAACTGTATCATTACCTTGTACACTGTTGCTTTATGAAAGTGCAAACCCAGGATTTTAGCAAACAGTGCTGTGTTTTTTTCATGTCACATGTACAAAAGGATATAAAAATAGCTCCTTGACTGACATATGATAATATCCTTAAGCCACAATGAAAATAAATATAATACAGTATTATAGCACAGGTATTCCTTTTGTTACAGGAATAGTATCTGTGGGATACACTCATCCGATCAAGGCTTTCAAAATCACATCCTTAAAGTACGCAATGCATTTTCAATGAATTGATAGCTATGGTCTTCAGTGAGCTGCCCTGACAGTAAAAAAAGAGACATGAACTTAATCTAATCTTAAGTTACTCATATTTTATCACACCCTTCTGCTTGCTAACTGAGAAATACTTCTAAAAACTGCCATGATGTTCCTCGTGGATCAAAAAGCAAGTGAAGTTTATAAAACAGTACTCTAAGAACTTTGGACAAATACAAGTGCTAGTCTGAACATGTGTAACACAACTATTTTGTGATTCAGTGGTGTAAATGTAGTTTATATTTTAAACTTCTAATAATTTTAGCTGCATATAAAACAGAGAAGTAATAAGTTAAATTATAGCACCTTGCATGAAATTTGTTCTAAAAAATACAAAGATTACACCTTTTAAAATTGTAAGAAATACAACTATGCTATCTCAAGTCCACTATGCACCTGTCATTTAAAAGGAAACTAATTTACATGTAATGAAGACATGCACAAATATCACAAATTTAAGGCACAAAATGGAATTTGAAAGTTAGGGATGTTGTAAATACTTGCTTTTTCATCAAATTACCTGATACAACTTAATCTAATCTTAAGTTACTCATATTTTATCACACCCTTCTGCTTGCTAACTGAGAAATACTTCTAAAAACTGCCATGATGTTCCTCGTGGATCAAAAAGCAAGTGAAGTTTATAAAACAGTACTCTAAGAACTTTGGACAAATACAAGTGCTAGTCTGAACATGTGTAACACAACTATTTTGTGATTCAGTGGTGTAAATGTAGTTTATATTTTAAACTTCTAATAATTTTAGCTGCATATAAAACAGAGAAGTAATAAGTTAAATTATAGCACCTTGCATGAAATTTGTTCTAAAAAATACAAAGATTACACCTTTTAAAATTGTAAGAAATACAACTATGCTATCTCAAGTCCACTATGCACCTGTCATTTAAAAGGAAACTAATTTACATGTAATGAAGACATGCACAAATATCACAAATTTAAGGCACACAAAATGGAATGAAAGTTAGGGATGTAGTAAATCCTTGCTTTTTCATCAAATTACCTGATACACCAGAAAAAGGTGTATCTACAATTTTAAAAAAAGCTGTATTATCATCGAATCATTGAAGCTAAAAATGGAAACAGCCTATTCAAGTATGTAGTTCAAACTCTCGCCAAAGGAAGATTATTTTCCACTATTGCACTACATCTAACTTAAAACCTTCCAAGAACTTGTATGCATTGATAAGCACTACTGTGTCATTCCATAACCTAACTGATCTCATCGGTAGGATCTTTCTCCTGATGTATTATCATCGAATCATTGAAGCTAAAAATGGAAACAGCCTATTCAAGTATGTAGTTCAAACTCTCGCCAAAGGAAGATTATTTTCCACTATTGCACTACATCTAACTTAAAACCTTCCAAGAACTTGTATGCATTGATAAGCACTACTGTGTCATTCCATAACCTAACTGATCTCATCGGTAGGATCTTTCTCCTGATATTCACTGGATATTTGCCATGTTTCAAATGTATATAATCCCACCTTTATACTTAGAAAGCCTCTTCCTTTACATGTATTTGTCACATAACAAAAAATTATACATACGTAACAACTCAACCTTTCCGACTTATTTCTCACTTCAACTAATTTTGTTACTGTTCTCTGACTTCAGAAGATTGACCCAATTCCTCACCCCTGAGATACCCAAAATATAAGACTGTACTCCAGAAATGACCTCAGCAATCACAAGGAGTATTCTGATTTCCAGCTGCCTGATGCAGCTCTTCTGCATATATACTCTTCTTTTGACATTAGTGATGCCAGAAGCAACTTTGTTGCCTACATTATCAAGGCTTCTTACTACATTATTACATTTCAATCTTCTCTCTCTCTCTCACTAAGTACCCAAGTTTCCTCAAATGCATTACCTTTTCTCTGAGTCTCTTAGGCTGCGTCTAATTCTTGTCTACGTTTAATCCATCTGTTGGACCTCTCCCACTCAGGTATCATATAGTGTAATATCATCTGTAACTTTTATTAATATACTGCAGATCCCTCTTGCAGATTATTGAAGACATTAAGTAGAATTAGGTCAACACAGTATAAACAATTAATGGGGAGGGAGCAATTAAGATTGCACAATGGGATGATTCAAAGCACAATTTATATTTTAAGACTCTATTTCAAATATATTTTATCCCACTTAGCTATTTATAAGAAGTTAAATATCTCACTATAGCTACAGTTTCTAAATGCAGTATCATAATTTTTCTGCATACATAATTAAACATAGAATAAGAAACATGCTGACAATCAGTCTTCCTCTGCAAACGAGTCCCATTCCAGCCACTCATCAGAGAAAGGTAGGCACATCAAGTCTACTCCTCAGCACAAACTTTTAACCAGTTAATATTATTTTTATTATTCTACATATCTTTAAAATTACAAATGAAAATACAGAGAGATCTAAATTTGCACTGACAATCAAGAATCCAGCTCCTTTCAAAAGTCCTTCTGGAATTCTCCAGTGTGATCCTGTAATTCAAAGAATGTTGAACAACATGCTAACAGTACTTATAACTGGAAAGGTATTATTTAATATAAATCTTAAATAACATTTAAGCCACTTAGTCTATGAAAAACATCATTACCTAATTTATGCTCTGTTTTCCAGAAGACTCGCTTTCAGTACAACTTATCAACTCTCCTTCTGTTCTTGATGATGACTACAGGTCATAACAGAACTTTCAGAATAGAAAGCACAGTAGCCAACTATTCCAATTCTTAAAGCTATTTGTCAGCCTACTGAAAAGAAAACAATTTGCCTGAAGAAATGAACAATTAAAAATCAAAGTGAAACCAAGGATGAAAAGGTAAGTCTGAAGATATATTAATTGTAAAAATAATACAGTCCATGCTATTTTATGCACAGTTGTTTATTCTTGTTCCATGTTTTAAAACTTGGACTCAGAAAAATCACAGGAAGTTTTCTTTTTTTACCCTCTTTTTTTCCATTAGAAGCACCATAGTCACACGGCTTGATTCAATCGTCCTTTTCCACAATCACTTCTCCGTGAAGCACCCTTCTTCTCTGCCGCAACATGTGGAAGTAGAGTTGTGGAAATACTTGATCGAAGCATAAAAGAGAGCAAATTAGATGAAAAAAAATCAACAGATCACATAATGGAAAAATACAACTTTGCAGAATGATGAACTGAGGAAAAATTATGGCGCACAGTGCTGCAGTTCGTTAAGGTAAATAATAGCAAGTCATGAATGTTGCAGTGAATTACAAAACAGTAATTACTCAAAAGTCAGACAAGGCCCCCTGGATGTGTACCCTGTGTTTAAGGAACTTCCTTCCCTCCAACACTTTCTTTGTATAAACAGGATTTAACCACTTTCTGGCAGCGCCTGAAGTCTTCAAATTTGTGCTAAGGTAAGCATGTTTGAATTAAGACTTTGAGGAGGATACAAATTTACCCTACTTGTTCAAATCTGAAGTGAGGAGCTCCCTCTCTCCTGGCCCTCTGAGATTTATTGTATTACTGCCCTGCTGATACATTTGATCCTTATATTTAATGGATAGAAAATTGGATTTATTCCTGAAGCATTAAGTTATATAAACAATTGTAAAACTGTTAGTAAGTTACGATGCCTTAGGACATTTTTTACTCATATAAATCTCCCTCGTTGGCCTTCATGATTTCTTGTGACAAAAAATTTCACAGTGTGTGTGCATACTGTGAAAGTCTATGTTTAAGGTCAACTTCTTAAAGGAATACCTTTTATGAATGCAGATCACAGACCCTTTTAACATCAGTTTTCCTGCTTCTCAATGCCTCTCCCTAATCTCTTGCCTTGTTTCTAGCCTCATTGTCCAGACTATCTAAAATATTCTATTTGCCTAGTTTGGTCTATCCCCATTCATGGTGCTATATCTGAATCAGGTTGCTTTCTCCTTGTCTACACTGCCTAGGTACCAGTGGAAATAACACTGGAAGTGCAAGAGAGAGAGTCTCTCTAAGCTTAGCTCTAGTTAGCCAATTGATCTGTGGCTTCTGGTATCCAGAAGTACAAGGACAATCTGATTAAACCAAGGACTGAAGTATGTCCAGAGAGGTTTGGGGGGGTGGATTTCTGTGAAAATGAAATCTTGGAGAATATTGCCTCATGTTTTTCCCGAGCATGCTCAAATGGTGATTTTCAGAGGTGACACGTAAATGGATATTAATAGCAATAAAAACAAGGCAAATCTCTGGCACAACTTGCAGGACAATTTTTAAGCCGTGGCTTCAAAGTGGCAGAGGCACTAGAAATTCTCAGCGACACAGTTACAGACATTTCTGTGTGTAAGCAAATAGGTTTTTTACTTTGTCCAAGTCCTAGAAATGCTTTTAGCATTTTCACTGAAGTTTTTAAGACAGCTTATGTTCTGAGGCAGATAACAGGATGGAAAATTTCAGTCTAACCAATTAAAGCACAGCAAAGCTTGGAACAATAGAAAACAGATTTTTATAGTAGAAAGTGTTCAGTAAATTTAACTACATGCAGTGTTTCCAGCCTTGCTGATAATTGATTATTATGCTGTTAGCGTTACTACAGTTAAGTAATACTTACATGGCACATAGGAGAACATGACAATAATAAGGAAGTAATAGTAGTCAAAGGAGACATTATATTTGTTGGGAAGTCTCAGTGAAAAGATTCCTGTTTTCTTCACATAGGGTAAAGCAGCATATATGGTTAGCAGTTCACCTGCAACTCCAGCAGGATACAAAATGATAAAAAAGTTGTATCTGCATTAAAAAAAAACCCTTGTGAGAAACACCCCATGAATTTAAAATTTCCTCTTGCTATTATTAGTGGCACAGCAATGTATTATGGTAGTTTCTGCACCAAAATCAAGGACCACATTCTGACTTGGCACAGAATACCAGTTTCAGTTACTTTGGATAGTGTTGCTTAGGTTTACAGAGAATGCATTCCTCAGTCCTTTTATTTAAAAACAGTGAAGTATCAGAATGTTTGTATGTCTTTCTAATCCTAAAGAGTAAAAAATCTGCAAATTTGTAGTCTCCAATAATGTCTTTTTTTTAAACTTACTGATCTTGCTCCTGTTGTCACTGACAGGATTCAGACCAGGACTGGATCCCAAATTCAGATGATCCTACACATCTCTGTCACAGTGCACACACACTGGGTCAACTCTGTATTATAATTTCTTTGAAAATAATGAAAACATTGAAAAACATCAGAAACCTGTTTTACCCACTGCCACATGGGAAATCCAAATAATACTACATTTACCACTAATGGAAATGGAAATAAAAGATCAAAGAAAATGAAAGTGCCAGAAACTTATCAGATCCATTTTAAAATGGGAAGAAGATGTTCAAATAAAAGGCGAAGGCATTCAGTTTAAAGAAAATGTGGTTTGAATGCCATAGGCCACATAGGTGGTGACAAAACGAAAAATGTAGTCAGTAGGGTTTGTGCTGTCCTCACGCATAATGCACCATGGAGATGCAGTTTCTCCTAAGGAACAGCTCTCAAGTTCATGCAGGGAACAGCAATGAGAGCTGTCGCACAGAGAGAAAGGTACAGTGTGCGCTCCATGAGCAAAAGAGATGAGATCCAAAACAGCAGCAACCAAACATGAAACCCTCCTTGAGCAAATGGGCTTAGAGGACTCACAGGTCAGAGAACAGATTAGGGGAAGTATAAGAAGGAACTGATGCCATGACCTACACACAGTTTGTCTCTATGCAGTGAAAAAAAACTGAAGTAAAAATTCTGAACTAAAAGTTAGAGCATACCTATTCCATTAACAATGGACAGGGAAATCTTTTACAATTATAAGCTAAAGATCAGAAATTTCCAACTCCCTGGGAGTACTGAAATTATGCCCAGTTGTGCTGTTTGATTATCCATAAATCTTGGTGGGATATTTTGGACTCTATGAAAAGATAGCACAGTTTCAAATGTTTTGTTTATAGTACATTTCACCATATATCTCTGCTGTGAGAATGTCAGTTTTCCCTATTGTCTATTATAAGGAAACAAAAATTCTGTCATTCAAGATACACTGACTTGATGGCAAAAAGTGTATCTGTCAATGTAGTACTTCCTGAATGCATTTCTCTTTCTGAAGCCCACATAAAAAATTATTAATGAAACTGTACCTGATTATTTTTAAGTTTGCCATTTAGTGTTGAAACATAACCAAGGCTACCACCTTAGGTATTAGCAAAAAGATAATGTATTATAAGAATGCATAAATATCAGACATATCAAAGAAGTGCATTAGAAGCATCAGAACTGCATTATTTATAAAACAAAAATAAAGGAAAATAAACAAACACTCTTTTAAATAAGAGTCTCCTGTGCTGAACATAGGTAAGATATTTTCCTTCTAACAGTGTAAGTCTGTCTGTCTTACATGTATTTTTCAAATAATGACTACAGAGAATACTACTCTTCCAGTTAAGTCTCCTGATAAACATGCAGTCTCTGCAATATATCTGACCTAGTGGCCAACCTTAAGTATGCTTCAAAATCAAAGCAGTTTTGATATGGAACACACTTTTTATGTGGGCTAAACTAAGTCAATATTTAGCTTCACTACATGAATATAACCTTATAAAAGCTCTGATAAAGCAGAACTTCTCATAAAGTACTAATACACATAAGATTGAGTGACAACAACTCCCACATTTTCAAAGAACTGAAATCCACAAAGACTAGCACAGGTGCTTAATTTTGGGCATTGTATTCAAAAGCATCTTAAGGAGTCATAGTGTAAGTTAAAAGATGACTCCAAAGATAAAGAAAAAAAATTAAAGTTAAAGCAGAGTTCAAAGTGTGAGACACAGAAAGCAAAGAGCAAATCACACCCCAAAATGTCAGCTAAAATATTTTTAACATTTTAAACCAAGTAACAATGATCCCAAGTACAGAAAGCAACTGACTTGCACTCTGCTGACACATAACCAAAGCTCAAACATCTGCTCTCCTGTGTGTTAGCTCAGCATGCGTGAAACTAACATGCCAGAGTTCCAAGTGTGAGACACAGAAAGCAAAGAGCAAATCACACCCCAAAATGTCAGCTAAAATATTTTTAACATTTTAAACCAAGTAACAATGATCCCAAGTACAGAAAGCAACTGACTTGCACTCTGCTGACACATAACCAAAGCTCAAACATCTGCTCTCCTGTGTGTTAGCTCAGCATGCGTGAAACTAACATGCACAGAACCATGAGAAACTGAAGTACAAGACATCTCCACCTGGCCCATTTAATGAAGTATGGCAAATGGTTGAGCAGGTTGAATGTGTAGAAGGAATATCGAGTAATCTCTGTCACAGTCCATACGACCAGAAAAAGAATAACGCTCTCCTCATTCTGGATCTGCAGAAGTATAAAGAACCAACACTTTCTTCATCCTTAAGCTTCTTTTCTGTGCAAACTGCAACAGACTTCTGTTTAAGATATATGGAACAGAACTAACATCTTGTAAAGAAAGAAAATTTTGGCATAAAAGTGATATGCTGAAACCATTACCATGTACAGTTCTTTATCATATGTATTTACTAACATACAGACATTTTGCAAACTGAACATCTTTATCCATTATGCAAATATCAACATACAAAACCCTATAATTGAGCTAATTCCTCCTCTTCATTCTCTATCTGCATTTTCACTATGCTATCTAACTGTCTCCCTCTTTTTATTTGTGGTTGATTTATTTGTTTATTTTCTTACTCCTCAAAACAGCAAGAAGAAAACAACACAGAAGATATGTTCCTTTCATAATCAGTTTTTACCCATTCTGCATTTCACTACTCTGTCTCCTAGACTTTCTCTTACTTTTTACCTTGCTTCTTCCTCACCATGAAACTTCAGACAAAAGGAATTGCTTAGTATAATCTACTAACTGGAACTTAGTCGCAGAAGATCAAATTTGGCAGACTTCAGGGAGCTGTGAGATAGTTAAGGAGCTGGAACACAGATGGATCACTAAATGAACAGTAGTGGGAGATCAGGAGCTTTGGGTAAACTCACTCAACAATCCCGTTTAAGATTTAAGTTCTGAGTCATTAAACTGCCTCATCGGTAGGTAGCACGCCTATCTGCTGTTTCAAAACATCGGTTCTTTTTCACTCTAGGTGAACAAATAAACAAAAGTCCCCAAATACAAAGAAGGCACGTGGGGATCTATTACAAACACTACCTTCTGAGAAGAATTACATGCAAGTAATTTTCTTTTCTTTAAAAGGGGAGGAATTTTGTAATATACTTCCATGCCTGAAGGCTGAAAAGCTCCAGGGATGTCTGTGAAATAAAATAAAGTAACACAAGTTTTGTTAAAATTACAAAAAAGGGAAACCATTTTTTTTAATAAAATGCAACATGGTGACAAAGCTTAATACATCTCAAAGATGCTGAAAATGCACAACTTTGTCAAAAGTCAAGAAAAATTATAAGTGCTTATCATCTTATAAAATCGTGCCCTCAATGTGTCAGTCAAAGAAGGTGCACTTTTAGTGAAAGGATCTCACCAACATCACAAAAGGAGATATAAAAATACCGCCAAACTCACAAACAAATAGCAACAACTGCAGTGCAAAGACATTCAAACAAATAAGCAAAGGGAAGACAGAAAGAATTAGGCTGTTCTTAGCCTCATGCGATTAGAGACAAACATTGATAACCCGAACTTGGACTCATGTCACCGTGCTAAATCCAAGCAGAAGAGCTTTAAATAAGTATGCAGAGAATTCGTATCTGTTGCCTTGCAAATCTCCAGCCAAGTAGAGAGATCTGGGTCTGGCTATTATCACTAACATGCCTCTCACCACCTAAAGTGGCCCTGAACATTCGTGCCTGCTAAGCAATAACAGCGTGAAATACAAACAGATATACATTCAGATGTATTTTTTTCCTGGACACAGCTTGACCTACTGTACTGAAGATAGAGGAAACAAAAGAAATGCTGGATATGCTAAAGACTTAATGCACTGCAGATAATAATAAAATGGCAAAATGCAGTGCTTTATTCCAGCATTCACGTAAACATTCAATATAAAAACCTTGATAATCTTTGAGATTTCCCTTAAGGGAAATTTGAGATTTCCCCTAAGGGAAAAATGAAAACACTTAGTTTAGAAAAAAAAAAAAAAAAAGGCTATTCCATGTTAAGAAAAGCGACAATAAAGGAAAAGATGCAAGTGTAGAAAACAAAACCTCGGTGAACTGACACAAAGGGATTTGACAACTGAGGCAGGTGCTATGGGTTCCCATCAGCAAAAAAGCATATGCCATCTGCTGGTGAGACAGTTTAATGGCTCAGTTTTTTAAGTCTAAAGATCAGGAGCAGAGACTTAAAATCTACCACTTAATTCTTACATGCCCTTTACAGAAAGCAGACCTCAGAAACTGAACTGAATGTCCTATCTACTAGCTGTAAGCAGTCTGCTTGTTTCATTCTGCTAATGAATCACTAGACTTACAATAACCACCTACAGCCAGGCAAATAAACTATTGTCATTTATACAGGACCTTAGGCATCACTGTTGGCATGCTGGATGACTTGATATATATTTTAATGAAAACAATGCAGTATGCATGCCATCAAATGTTAATATTACCATAACATTAAAATCTTGAGAAGGTTCCTAAAATAAATCACAAAATCACAACCATGTTTATCCAGGTAAATTCCGTTTAAGACATATTTTCATTTAGATTAATTCAGTAAGTGCTAATGTAAGTTTTTGAAAGGGAACCAGTAACACTGTGGTAGATTTGCTGGTAAATAACAGATGTAGTCATTGATCTCACTTAGGCTGACCACAGCCGGCGCGACGCTGAAGACAGTGCTGATTCACAGCTAAGACCCAGACCCAATCTCCTAGGTAGAAGCACATAAATTCCATCCTGTAACCCCAACTTCCAAAATCGCACTCAAGCGTGTAAGTATTCTCTGTAGGAATGTCATTAATTTTTACTTTGGTCTTCCTAGTGAAATGAGAACTGTATTGATAGCTTCTCCTTAAAAACAATCAAAACACGACTTGCTCACGCACATACCTGTTTTATACTATGTGCAATGAACCACACCATGAAGATTCTTGAACTCACTTGGACCCCAGTCACAAGCACAGATGTGCGAACTATTCCTTAAAAAGAGAAACATGTTATCTCTGTTCCACAATTCATCTTTTAATTAGTTACAGGTGAAACTAAAACAAAGAACTCACCAACTGCACAGTGGACTACCTGTAAATAAAAATAAGTTAGAGGTTACTGATGTACAGTATGTTACTATCTACACTATAAACATGGCCTTTTGATATTAATATAAACCTAGGCTTAATTCTGAAGGAGAACTGGTTTTTTGTGTCCAGCTAACAGTCTTTAAAAGAAATACACGTTAGAGCACTGGCAACCAATACTGATGGGCTCAGTATCTGATCTGTGCAAACACATGAAAAAGATTTATTTTCCTAATTAATTGTATATATTACATATTTAGATACTTACAAAGCATTTATTTTTTCAACTAGTAAGCTTCCCTTCCATTATCTTACTCAAAGAAGAATTTTACAGGACAGTGTGGAGGGAGTCATATTAACGGATGCTAAATGCACAGCAATTTTAAAATGTTCTGTATTCATTATGGATTGATAACATTATTATAATTTTGCCAATGACAGCTATGAAGCTTCAGATTTATTGTATTTTCTGGTCAGTAATGTTTAGCAAATAGAGTGCTTTTCATTATTTTGACAGATTTGAGTAGAATTACTTATTGTGAAAGTTTAATAGCATAAAAGTCTATATACAGCTGGCCACATGATTTTAATAGTTGCTTGAACTACAGATGTTGTAGGCAGATTGAGAAAAAAAGTTAAAATGTAGATAGGCACTCTTTGTTGTGCCTGAGAAAGAACTGTAAGCGCTCAATACACCCAACAGTTTCATTCCATAGATGTACCATAAACTGAGACCACTAGTGCACAGTTGGCAGAAGTCATACTATTTAAAGAATACTTTGCACAACTTGCACAGATCTTGTTCAAAGGGATTTGACAACTGAGGCAGGTGCTATGGGTTCCCATCAGCAAAAAAGCATATGCCATCTGCTGGTGAGACAGTTTAATGGCTCAGTTTTTTAAGTCTAAAGATCAGGAGCAGAGACTTAAAATCTACCACTTAATTCTTACATGCCCTTTACAGAAAGCAGACCTCAGAAACTGAACTGAATGTCCTATCTACTAGCTGTAAGCAGTCTGCTTGTTTCATTCTGCTAATGAATCACTAGACTTACAATAACCACCTACAGCCAGGCAAATAAACTATTGTCATTTATACAGGACCTTAGGCATCACTGTTGGCATGCTGGATGACTTGATATATATTTTAATGAAAACAATGCAGTATGCATGCCATCAAATGTTAATATTACCATAACATTAAAATCTTGAGAAGGTTCCTAAAATAAATCACAAAATCACAACCATGTTTATCCAGGTAAATTCCGTTTAAGACATATTTTCATTTAGATTAATTCAGTAAGTGCTAATGTAAGTTTTTGAAAGGGAACCAGTAACACTGTGGTAGATTTGCTGGTAAATAACAGATGTAGTCATTGATCTCACTTAGGCTGACCACAGCCGGCGCGACGCTGAAGACAGTGCTGATTCACAGCTAAGACCCAGACCCAATCTCCTAGGTAGAAGCACATAAATTCCATCCTGTAACCCCAACTTCCAAAATCGCACTCAAGCGTGTAAGTATTCTCTGTAGGAATGTCATTAATTTTTACTTTGGTCTTCCTAGTGAAATGAGAACTGTATTGATAGCTTCTCCTTAAAAACAATCAAAACACGACTTGCTCACGCACATACCTGTTTTATACTATGTGCAATGAACCACACCATGAAGATTCTTGAACTCACTTGGACCCCAGTCACAAGCACAGATGTGCGAACTATTCCTTAAAAAGAGAAACATGTTATCTCTGTTCCACAATTCATCTTTTAATTAGTTACAGGTGAAACTAAAACAAAGAACTCACCAACTGCACAGTGGACTACCTGTAAATAAAAATAAGTTAGAGGTTACTGATGTACAGTATGTTACTATCTACACTATAAACATGGCCTTTTGATATTAATATAAACCTAGGCTTAATTCTGAAGGAGAACTGGTTTTTTGTGTCCAGCTAACAGTCTTTAAAAGAAATACACGTTAGAGCACTGGCAACCAATACTGATGGGCTCAGTATCTGATCTGTGCAAACACATGAAAAAGATTTATTTTCCTAATTAATTGTATATATTACATATTTAGATACTTACAAAGCATTTATTTTTTCAACTAGTAAGCTTCCCTTCCATTATCTTACTCAAAGAAGAATTTTACAGGACAGTGTGGAGGGAGTCATATTAACGGATGCTAAATGCACAGCAATTTTAAAATGTTCTGTATTCATTATGGATTGATAACATTATTATAATTTTGCCAATGACAGCTATGAAGCTTCAGATTTATTGTATTTTCTGGTCAGTAATGTTTAGCAAATAGAGTGCTTTTCATTATTTTGACAGATTTGAGTAGAATTACTTATTGTGAAAGTTTAATAGCATAAAAGTCTATATACAGCTGGCCACATGATTTTAATAGTTGCTTGAACTACAGATGTTGTAGGCAGATTGAGAAAAAAAGTTAAAATGTAGATAGGCACTCTTTGTTGTGCCTGAGAAAGAACTGTAAGCGCTCAATACACCCAACAGTTTCATTCCATAGATGTACCATAAACTGAGACCACTAGTGCACAGTTGGCAGAAGTCATACTATTTAAAGAATACTTTGCACAACTTGCACAGATCTTGTTGTAACTGATTGTATGGGGCATGTGAATCCAGTCTGGAAATAAGCAGAAGCAGGAAAGGCACAGAAGGATAATGAGTCCAGTATAAGGAATAAGAGGGAAGCTATCATCTCTGGAGATGGAGACGAGGTATCTACTAAGCTAGAGGGTTGATCTGCTGGCTGGAATGCCTTCAGAGATTTTGCCTTTTGAGTTAAAGACTCTCAAATCAAAGCAGTTCCCAGGCAGCATTTGATTTAAAGAAATATTAGAATTAAGTTTGAAAAAATGTGTCTATTTGTTTCAACTAATCACCTTGCCCCTCAAAAATCCTTCATTAAATAATAAAGTTAAAAGGAATTTAAGTACTAATATAATGTTTTTATCTTAAATTCCGGTTAATAATGTGTTTTGCCTATGATATGCAGCATCCAGTAAAGCAAACTAATGTTTAAAATTTACCTCAAGCAAAGCAAGTGTCTGGAAAAATTTAAGCGTCCTTTGAACGCTTCTGAATAAGCCTCTATGTGTTCCTTTCTGTATATAAAACCGCACCATGGCAATACCTAATACCAGCCACCTACAAAAGAAAAAGAATGGATACATTTCAAATTAGAATTCTAAAAATATCCATCCACCATAAATAATTTAGTAGAATATTTTCTTCATGGAATATCTTTGTTCTTCACTTGTCAGTGTTCTTAGGAGATTATTAAAAATATCTTTAGGCATAGATATTATATAATATTACATAAACATTACACTCTTTTATCTCTTTACTTGGAAAAGGATAGAGAATGACTTGTTTACCTTCAGAGGATTGACTTGAATTGAGGGGACCCCCCAAAACGATGGGTCCATCAGACTTTTCACTAGCAGTGACTACGTATTTTTACTACTAAATCCCCATGCATCTTTACTGTGAATTACTGTTATTTGAAAACACGTGATGAACTTGGCACTGAAGCCACCATTTTGGGTCGCAGGTTTGTGTAAGTAAAGGACCGGAACCTATGCACATCATTTTTACATTTTTCATGGCCCCTGAACTCATAATTTTCAGAACTGACTAGTGATCTGAATGCTTCTGTTTGTGATTGTCCAACTGAAGTTACCATTATGATTCAGTTTTCAAAAGTGTTGAGAAGTCGTCTTTGAAAATCAGACTCCGAAGTGCTGAAAGATGGGTGCTCTATGCTCCTGGCTTCCAAAGGCAGGTATATTTAACTAGCATATTTGATGGCGTTGGCTAATTTTTTTGTATTTTTTTAAGGAAACTGAACAATGCTACCAACTGATAACCCTTCCAGTGTAAAAGAAAGAACGTAACAGTGTCTTTTAATCAAACTGGAACTTGATATAAAACTTAAATTGAGATCTCAAATGGAAATCGAGACTAAAAAAAAATAAACTTCTGAACTGTCGTAGATTGATCCCCACCACCCAGCCCAGACCCAGTACAATAGCCCAAGGCATGCGCCATTCCTTCCACATAATTAATCCATGTTTATATAATTAAGATTTTGAAAATAGTGTACCATATTTCCATGCTTAATGCAGAGCTATACCACATTCTTACAAACATCACACTAGCAAGATGCCTTGAAACTTCAGGTTTCAATCCACAAAGACTAAGAAAGTATAAAAATTCTTTAATATAGACTTATAGGCATAACCAGAGCTATGGATGGCTATCTTGAGAGTTAAAAATAAAAATACAGAAATTACAATAACTTCAGCTTAACTTTTTGTCTGATGATATTCGGAACAATTACTCAGTCCTTTCATTGCACACAAAGCCATAGCAAGCATGCTGTACAGCGACATGAGCTCTGGCTAAGGAAGGGCCCGAGTGACAAAGCAGAGGGGTCTGAGAAATACTCAGAGGCAGATTCGGAGAACATATAAACATTCGGAGAAATACTTATATAAACATTTGGATAAATATTTAACAACTCTCCTGTTCTTATACTCTTCCCTAAGCGTAAGGTACTGGCTAACATTGGAAACGGGGTACGAGGAAATACCGATCTTTGGTCAGACCCGTTATGCTGTAACAGCGTGAGAGTCGCGTGGATCGTGACAGCTCTCTGTTCACCTCGGATGGCATGTACTTTCAGTATCAGCCCCTTAACAACTCTTACACATGGTGCCTACTGCTACACAGTCACTTGGCGCGGCCCATTCCAGCACTTCATGATGGCATTTCAAACTTACTTAGAGTTAGTCAGGCTTCCTCACACGGTAGGAATGATTCCTCTCCTTGATCCCTTCTACTTTAAGCCCATGCATCCCATCTGCCAGTGCTCCAAAATTTGCCCCCAAAAGTGTCACTTAGATTTTGTAACAGATTTTAAATCTGAGAGCATTAATTTGAGGTTTTCTCCCAACACTGTGGAAATGAGGAATTACTGGAATATCACTGGTAGTCCTTCACAGTAAAGCTGCCCTGTTTCTAGTGAAGTGTTTGGCAAGAATAAGGTGACAGTGAGTTTACATCCAGCTGGCAGCACAAATGGTGACAGCAACAGCTCCGTCCTAGCCCTACCCTGAGAAGTCATAATAATACATCTAATCTAACAAAGCGTTTTCTGCACCTCATTCTGTAAAAAAAGGGTTGCAGAAAGAAGTAATCTTGGACTACACTCAGAAGCAAAGACTGCAAATATTTTTCTTAAATAAATTTTTATTTGGACATGATTTTTTGTAGATCCATTTATTTAGTTGTCAGTGGTTTTGACTTTGGATCTTGGGAAAGCCCTTGTACTGAGTATTGCAAATCACCAGGAAATAGAAAACGCTTTCCATAATAAAAGCAGCATTTCCAGTTGGGACTTTCAGTAAGACTGAGTACTGATCTGTCATTTTAGTCCCTTAAACCTTTGTTAGAAAGGAAGATAAGCCGCAATTTTTTATTAGAATGGTTGTTAACATGCAGTTATGTATTAGTTTGTTAAAACTCTAGAAACACTTCGCTATATTGCATTGTCTGGACAAATGGACAAGTATACTGTTCTTGTTACTTATTTATCCTGTGTAGTGCCCCTGTTAAGTATTGCTCTATTTCAAATGTTTATTTTTCTCTTAAATTGTATCCGTAAAAGATTATAAGAATTTGTTCCTATTCTTATTTCTCTGTTTCCACATAAAATATGAAATTTTGTGTCTTAATCCCTTTTGATGTCAATAGAAGATGGGAGAGAAGGAAGTGGGAGATACTGAATCAGCACCTAAGGTCAAAACTAATACAGTTCGATAATCTTCTACAGACATAAAAGTCAGCGGCAAGACTCAGTGTTCATTAGCAAATTCACACATGGAGCACAAGGCTGGGAATTCAATGAGGTAACATTAGCCTGCCAGCTAGAAAAAAACTACATTGAGTAAAAGCACTTTTCAGATACTGCTGCTGCAATATATGAACAGACTTCAATATGTGTTCAAGATGCACAGATGCTAGTGAGAAGAAAGCCATTACGATCATATTCCTGGCTTTCTGCATCAGTGCTTGAACTCCTGCTTCAACTACAGTGTGTCAGTTTTGCTCTATGGGATTCAAATGGCAGCGAGCTCACCCACTGGTAACCAAGGTAAAATTGTTCTCGTGATGAATGTCAGCCTGGAAGTTATGAAATTGTTCGTTCTTAGTTTTCTTTTAAGCATGTGCAAATTAATAGGGTGTTGGGGTTTTTTTCCCAAGAGTTAGCGCACAGGACAAATTTTCAAGAAGCGAAAATACGTGCTTCAAGCATTAACAACATAAACCTGAATGCTCTTATGATCTGTTATTCAAAATAAATACCTACTCTCCTCAAAGCAAAGCATCGCAGCATGGAGCACTAGCTCAAACGAGCCCCTTGGGTTATTACAGCTCTCTCCCCCTCCACCCACCCCCTGCTCATCACTAAATGCCCGCTGGCGCTGAGGAGGACCACGCTCGGCTTTGGAAATTTCTACCTCGCAGGGAGCCGGTGCGAGCTCTGCTCGTTTAGATCCAGGGCTCACGGACCTGAACGAGCTACCCCACACGGTAACCCGGGGCGTGAGCTCACAAAGCCAGCCGCAGGACCGCCGCCCGGGACAGCTCAGCTC